ATGTGCATGAAAATCTATAAGTATGTGTTAATAATAATAATAATAATATTTTGCTTTATTCCGAAACAGTACTTGTGATACAGAATGGAATTCTCAGCATTTTACTACAGTATTGCATCCAGTTAGTAAATTAACAATAAATAAAATTCTACATAGATAGATTAAGGTTAATCTCGGTTAGTTTTTGACAACAACATATTATCATGTCGATAGCAAAGCCAAAATTGAACAGAGTGTTTGAAGGTGTTAGAAAAGTAGATACTAGCAAATTTACTAGCGTAAGCGGTAACAAAAAGATCAAGATATACAGAGTGTGAAAGAACGAAGAAGAATGTTTTAAATAGACTTTGTAAGGAAGAGAGAAACAAAGCAGCACATAACAAAAAAAGAGGAAAGGAAAAGAAAGAAAGAAAACATTGTACCTACAAATGATATGAGTTGGAAAGACGAGATCCAGTTGTTCTACTGATTTCCTAAATAAACGATCTGTTGCCTGGCGTTTTACAAATGTGCTTGCAGAAGTAAATGGATATCCATATCTCTATTCTCTCAATGCACGCTGATAGCAATTTCTTCCGCCTGTTATAATTATGTATTCTGTTTTTTAATATTTTTATTGTTCTCATTATTATTGCTACAGTGGATTTTTTCTGGTCTACTGATCTTAGACTGGACACTAGTCAGCAACTAGTGTAATGCATCTAGTGCTTTGTTTGGTCAAGCTTGTAGTGTGACCACCATTCTAGGTGGTCGCAATCATGATGCACTATGAATTGTTGCTATTTTATGGCTGGAAGCAATCGGTAGGAAGCCTTGGACATAACTGATTTCTAATAACTTCCAAATGCACACGCACATAGTATTGGATAATATTTTTCCTTGTATCTTGCTGGTCCATTTGTATTTTTTGATGTCAATTCAACAAAGAAAACTTCTCGATTGTCGTACTAGACTTATAATAAACAACTGCTTTCTTTATTTTCGCGTTATTTGTGACCAATTATTATACCATTGCATATTCCACCCATTGTTATTTCGTTAAAATACGACCTTCGTATCAAACTTCCACTAAATATATAATAAAATAGTATGTGTTCTTATTTCACTAATTCTATGTTGTATATTTTAGGCTGTCTACAGTTAGAGAAAAGCATAAAAGTAAAAATGTGCATGTTTTATGCGGTAGATTTTTATTCTTCTCACTTCGACGAAGATAATCCGTCACAGCTGACATTTCAATTTCTCTTACGAAGGCTCCCATGATGTCTTATGATCAACACGACATTATCTCTTTGATAGTGGTTATCAGTGGGATATTTTTAATATTTTTCTTTGCTTTAATTGGATTGATTTTTGGGGCGATACAGTCGTTAGCCCCTGCCTTTTCCGGGTTTAGGACCGGCACGTAAACTAGTGAACTGATAAACCAGGCGAAAAATATTTCCAGTAGCCCGTTGCAGACATTTATCAACAGTTGCCATGTTGCCTCAAAACTGAAGATCAGATGCCTAGTCGGATGGGATTAGCAATAATAACAATTGTTTTATTATGCGCAATATGTTAACACAATATATACAGTTTTCAGCGTAGTTTATTGCATTATATTTACTCTTCATCCAGGAGTTTCAAGTAAAACAGCAGTCTACAGTACATCATGTGGCGCAGTGATGTTAGATCTGAAGAATAAAATAATCCAGTACATTAATTTTCTTTGGTCCCACAGAAATCCTCAACTATAAAGGATATAAGTGAATGATTATAAAAACAAGAACTGTAGAAAGTAAGACGCATTGTCTCGGATGGAAATTCAGGTAGCTTATAGATTCAAGCAAGCAGGAACTGTGGAGACAAGTGACACCACTCACTATTCAGGTTCTCCAGTGGAACCCGGTTGGGAGGCGACGGGTTGGGCATCCGGGGATGACATGGGGGAGATGGAGTGAGAGCTTATGGGCAGTGGTAGAACCAGCCATAGAATAAGGGATGAAATGGCAATGTGCTAATGAACGCCTATGATCCACTTGGGACCCCAAAGAATAATAATATACCAAGTACGATCTAAGTTGTGTATTTCATTGTATTTTGGATGCAGACTTGGACGAAACGTGCATCGTGAATTCAGTCACTAGCATTCATCAACTAAATGGCATTTACCAACTATTCCGGTAGATAGTTGTTATCTAGTTGGTTATCTATCTTCACTTAAATTTTTGATGTAAGTACAGAAAAGAAATCACAACATTCTACTAACACACTTTTACATAAGATAAATTCAGTCAGGTGCAATATAACATGATGATGGTGATAGGACTGATTATCAAATTTCCTTTGTCTTTGACTTTTTTCTCATCAATAGATAATTTGATTGGACACTAGTCAGTGACTCGTGTATTGTGTCTGGTCCTTTGTTTGGTGCAGACTGAATTCTATCAGTCAAGTTTGCAATGTAGCCAGCATGCCACTAGGTGGCTCGCCATCACTGTACACTTTGAATTGTTGATTAGATGGTTGGAGGCAATCGGCAGGAAACTTTGGACCTAGGTTTCATGCTAGTTGGCATTCATCATCAGGACGTATCTGCAACCTTGAAGGAACTCATGTCCCTTCTGAGATTTGAACCCGCATCACCCAATACTGAAGACATAGATAAGACCACTGAGCAATTAAGGCTGATGAGTGCCAACTAGTACGAAACCTCGGTGAAGCAAGGCTTCCTGCCGATTATCTCCACCATCTAATATTAACAATCGATAGTTTTTCTGTTTCTCCCTTAAATTACACTTTTTCAGTAGAATTTTTCACGAATTCATTCGAAACTAATTTGAATAAACTATGTGACACATGGATATTTTCTTTTTCTTCTGCCTGAAATACCTGGGATAGAAAGAGTGCTTCTGTTAAGTGGCCACACAGCCCAGGAGACAACTGCTTCATGTTGGCTGTACAGATTTCCTTTTTGAAGTTGTGTCTGTTTTAAGAACGTACTGCCGGCTTCTCAAACTTGTTATTATAATTACACACTCTTGTTCATTCCCCTTTATTAAATTCATTAATAACCAATAATTGTCAACTTGTGCTACTTTTAAGTTTACACCACACTATTCTTATTGTTTCATCAGCCTTGAATTAACATCTGGTCTATTCAAATCATCAGTTTATTTTTTTGTAGTATTTGCACTGCCTCACACACCACTAACTACACTTGCCCCTTCAAACCTGGACCTTCATAGATTATATATATATATATATATATATAATATATAGCTGAACTATTTCATTTTATCTGATATTCTCACATATTTTAAATGGTAATCAAAACTAACAGACAGACTATTCTTCCATCTTCTACTTGTACCACATATGTAACACCTTTTCTCACATAATTCTAATTCCCCACTGGCTGGAACCGCTTATTGCTAAAATTAATGCATTTATAATTGTAGAGTCTGAGGATGAAAGAATTTATTGAAAACAATTCTTCGCTCTAATTATTTTTGTTCTGAATAAATTATGAGAATATTCAAGTAACCAATTTAGTTGGGTAACATTTTGGTTTCCTGAACGCTCAGAAAAATTCAATTGGTGGGTGGTGACTAGTAGTGGAATCCATGATGCACATTTCGTCCTATTTGGGACTCGCCAACTGGTTGTACCTGCATTCCCAAATGAGTGATGATGTTCCCACCGAGGCTCGAACCCAGTGCCCGTAGTTTCAAGCGCCAAAACGTTATCCACTAGACCACTTGGGCCACGAGAGCCACCTCTTTTGCAACGGGTCATATTAATTATTTAATTCAATTTTAGATTTTCCCGTCAATTGATTGGACCGAAGTGCTCGGTCTCAGGTTGACATGTCGCTTTCTTGTACAGATGCTTCGACGATGTCTGGGTATTCAATTAGTATTTAACTGATGGATGGTGACCAACAGTGGAATCCAGGATGCGCATTTCGTCCTATTTGGGACCCGTCTACTGGAGGTACCTGCATTTCTCAGAAATATCTTGTTTTGATTTTCTTAACACACTGTAATTAATTTAAATAATTTATAATCATTCATGTGAATTATTATAATTTTTAATGGCATCAATAAATTGGGTAGTATAATCTTTTGATTTCCTCATTCAGAGAGATATAAATAACTACGCATTAACAGTTCGGTTTTTCGTGTATGTTGTTCAACCCCGTCATGACCCTGATATCCTAGATTCCACCTCTAGTCATCAGGATCACTACATCATATCCCTATTCTCCATTTTGAGTTGTCAACCCATCTCTCACTCACATAGGAGGTCAGACTCTGTAGTAAGGATAATGAAAAGCTAGAGAACTCTAGGCAAATGCATTATTATTTCATTGAACAAAATTTCCCACCAATAGAATCCCAATAAAATCTATTCGTCAGGCCTTGATTGATTGACCACTACTACTATTACTAATAAATAATAATAGTCATCCAATCAAATGTTTGAAAGGGGAAGGGAAATAAGATTTCCTATTGGCGTTTAACATGTAAAAAATCAGACCTTACAATTCCCAATGACCTTGATGATGTGAAAGACATGCGCTTAGATGATTATATACGTCTTTTAGTTGAATAGATTAACAAACGGACAACATTGGCCCGTCTCTGTGTACAACAATGAAACCGATAGAAAAGGGATTTATGCTTGTTCCAAACTTATTTTAAGGATATTGTTTGATTTGGTAGACTGGGGACTTGAGGATTTTTATATCATAAATTGTCTTACATATACATATTGTTTTTTTTCTAGTGTATATCTATTTTACACAGGAGTCACATTAATTTACCTCGGAATGGATGTTTATTATCACTGTACAACAGCATTGCGTACTACTCACTAATAATAACTCCAGTAGCAGTAGTACTCAATTGTACTACTGTCAGTAGTAGTCACACTGTGTAAATATTTCATTTCAATGGATTCCAATTCTGGATAGCACATTAGTAGTGCATCGGAACTAGGATTTCACAATTACAATGAACATTGTACGAAATAATCAACTTGCATTTAAACAAAAGCCTTATTCAATATTCACTATTTATTCTCTGGTATACTGTTTCATAATAACAGCATTATCAAGCAGCAGCACCGCCACCAGCAGTAGCAGTTTAGTCATCCATGAAGAGAAACTGTTACGTCAATTTGTAAGTTTCATTCAATCTACATCGCATAACTCCAATGCGTGTTCAGTAAATCCACGTAAATCGAATTCACTATCCAATTCTATCAATTTAAATGAAACATTCCATCCAATATTTCATAGTGTCATAACTCAAAAGAGTTTAACAAAAAATTTCTTACATGATATATATAAATGTATTGAAATTGTGAGAACTTTTAATCGTTGGTATTATCAATCGACTTCAGAGAATTCGATAACACTACCGTCTGTACAACATTCCAAAGCAAAATTAGAAGAATACTTGATCAATTTACTACATTTAAGTAGACCAGTTAGAATTCATAATGCTGAATCACTTATCATGAGGAATTTAAACCTTAAACCTGTTAATAATGGAACTACTACCAGTCGATATGATCAAATTGGTTTTTTAAATTATAATCATTCTAACCTATTGGGTATTGGTTATTGCCGTAATGGTCTATTAATAGCTTATGTAAATAATTATTCGTCTACTCCTATCAGTAATAGTAATGCTTATCCTGTACATTTAAACGAAATTTGCAGCCAATTTCGAACCAGTATTCAAGCATTCAATAACCATGAGGATACAATTAGTTTTAGTGATTTTCAATATGGGAAATTTTCATCCTTTTGGGCACCAGTTAAATGTGATAGTAACTCATTTATGCCAATTGTATTGAGATATTTTATATATACCACAGAAATGAGGTGAGTTTTGGTGTGTCTTATAATAATGTTATCAATTTGATGTAGTTTTTATTTTGGCTGGTGGTGACTAGCAGTCGAAACCAGGATGCACCTTACACCCTACTTAGAACTGTCACGTCAGCTGGGTGTAACTACATGTTGTCCAGTAATGATGTTCTCACTGAGACTCGAAATCGGGGCAAAGTTCGACAACAGCGTCCCAGGAGTGCGAACGCACGAGTGACCTTCAGCTGACCAATCGTGAAAATGAGGAATGTTTGCTCAAAAAATGATGTAAACTGACACGGAAATGCATTAAACAGGTTATCTTTCTGTGACATGGCTTAAAAATACGTCTTAGTTGTAAGGAGGAGTATCAGTTGCTGAGTTAGACTAGTTTCTGTACATGTATTCACCGAGATGACTACAGATAAACTGTTTTTGTGAATCGTTTATCTCTCTCATCCTGCTTGCAGTCAACCAGAAAAGCCCTCGGTTGAGTTATTATGGTTTCCAGCAAGAGGATAGACGACTACTTACCAGGAAAACGTGGATAATAAACAACATTAAAATAAATGACATCAACTATAAATCTATCCCTTATCGTAACCCTAAGCTTAATCCTGACCCTAACACTAAACCTAACCTTAATCCTAACCCTAATCATAACCCATATTCAAACCGTAATTCTAACCCAAATGCTAATCATAACCCTGATCCTAACCCTACCCCCAATACCTACCTTAACCCTAATCCTAATCCTAACGAGCTATTAAAACATTGTTCAAACAGTAATTAAAAACATGATCTGGGTCAAATTTGCTCCTAAGTTGGTGAATAACATTGCTATTTCAGCTGTGAAAGTGACAGATGCCGTTGGCCAACGACTAGCATGCGTTCAAGGTCATTGGAGCGTTCACATTCCTGGGACGCTATTGCTGAACTTCGCCGAAATTGGCATCCATGGTTTCAAACGCCAAAGTATTACCCACTAGATCACGAAGGTCATATAAGCCACCTCTTGTGCAATGGGTTTTCGTGATGATCTGCATTTATACTAGCTTTACATTCCCCGTTTATTGATTATGTTAGGTCAATCTGTTGACAAGTTGACTCCTAGCAATGATATTTCAGCGGTGTGTAATAATTTATTATGAAATTATTTTGGTTGGTGGTAATTAGCAATGGAAGTAAGAATGCACATTTTGTCCTCTTTAATACTTGTCAACTGGGTGTATTAGCATTCTGTTGGTGAGTGGTGTGTACATCTTTGTAAACACCCAAAGCTCAATGAATACATACTTGGCATCGGTAAGGCATCAACACAGATCGAGTGTTTCTGTCTAATTCAACCAGTTAACCGGAAATTCCCATACTCAGGCATAAACGAAAGAGCACATGAAAACTAAGAAAAGTTTCTTTTTGACGAATCATTTCCAAATATGCTGTGATCGCAGTAATGTTATTCTACATGTGGTAGAGCAAGTGTATGTCATACTTAGGAATGTAGTTATCTTTTTTATTTATAATAACCAGTGATTTAGGTCTGTCTGTTTTCGACATAGAACTTTGCACTGATGTGCGGCAGTTCAAGTCGCCACACTCCATGTAGCACACAAAGCAAGAGAAGAAAGTAGGAGAAATGCATATTAGAGACAGTAAACAGAGGTGTGAGACAAAAGGAATAGTAGTAACGAAGAACAAAACAGTTTCATTGGAAATCTTAAGTCACAAGGAGTGGATGCATCTGTACCAACCATTGAGAACGATTTTGAGCCATGTCACCGATTGTTTCCAACCACTGGTTTTTACCGTCCAGAGGACCCCAACCAGTCAGGAAGTCTACACCTTCCTACGTGGCCTAGACTAACTGTTGTTGTCCCCTGGGCTCTGCGGCCACGCAACACTTTCTGTTTCAGGTTCCCGAAGAATCAATCAACTTCCACGGTGTGATCAGCCGGGAAGTAACAACCGCCCACACACTTCCAAAAGCACACGAAGCCTGAGCATCACTCTCCCTTACTCACATCACCTTCCTCATCTTGCTTCTCTAATACAGTTAGCACTATTCTGCAGGCTAGTGAGTGATTTAGGTGTCTAAATGGCACTCTACTCGAACTCATGCAACTAGGTGAGAGCTAACGGCCAGCTGTCATTTGAAGTGGTGAGAACTAGTGGTGTCCGTCAGGGATGCCCACTGTCCCCATTTCTATTCAGTTTCATCATAGATGTACTAATGGACTTAACTCTAAGTGATTTCAGCGACTCAGGGATTGACTTGTTACGAGGGAATAATCTCGTTGACATGCAGATGATATAGTCCTTCTAGGTGAAGACGCTGACGAAATGCAGAGTCTTCCGAACACCTTGAGCTGCAATTTGCGAATGTTTGGCATGCGGTTCGCTCTCGCCAAATGTAAGATGATGCTACAAAACTGGACTACATTGACTCCTAGCTTAGAAATAGGGAGTGAAGTGGTGGCTTAGCGTATTGATCACTGACATCTCAGCATGGATACAGAGGGCTAGTTTCGCATATGCCAGTTTACGCCGTCTCTGGCGTAGACATGATATTCGGCTAGCTACCGACGAAAGGGCGTGTGTACTGCTCAGCAGTCCGCTCCGTCCTCCTTTATGGCCAGCTGTGAGACCTGGCCATTGAGAGTGGAAGATATGAAAAGACTAGCTGTTTTTGATCATAGGTGCCTGCGTCCTATCTCCAGGGTGAAGTCGTATAATAGAGTGAGCTTTATTGAAGTTAGGCTTCAGTCGAGTGCTAGGTAAGGAGGGAAAATCAATCGACGAGGCTGTGAAGCTACATCGATCGAGATGGTTAGGACATGTGCCTCCCTAGCCGTCTCCTTCCTCGACGAGCAATGTTAGCTGATATAGGGTCAGGTTGAAAAAGAGCCAGTGGTGGCCAAACGAAAACATGGCTTTATCAGTCAATGAAATCCGCAACAGTTAGTTTAAGTCACGTAGGAAGGTGTAGACTTCTTGGTTGGGGTCCTCGGGACAGTGAACACCAATGGCTGGAGACAATTTATGATATGGCTCAAAATCGTCGTCCTCAATGGCGAAGATGCATCTACTCCTTGTGACTTATAATACCCAATAAAACTATATTGTTCTTCCATACTACTACTCATACCTCTGTTTACTGTCTCCATTTTGCATTTACTTTTACTTTTGCTTTGTGTGCTACATGGAGTGGCGACTCGAACTGCTGCATATAGGTGCAAAGTTCTATGTTGAAACCAGTCAGTCAGTCAGTCAGTCAAATGGCCTGTATAAAGTATTCTCGTGCGATATTACTTAACTCTGCCTTTGTGAAGCAATTAGGCAGTGGTCTCCAATGTTCAGAGACGACAAGCGGCTGGACAATACAACCTTTAATATTCTTCCATTTTCCTCTAGCTAATCAGGCTGGACAGTGTTCGAAAATGCGTTAATGAGCATCTATGTTCAAAAGTACTATATCTAAATTATAACCTATTAAGAACATTACATTTCCCACACATATTTTAAGTGGAAACTTTCCACTAGCTATGTTCACTCAGACTAATTAGTGATTTTTCTCACTTATTACGTAATTCCGTCTCATTTTTCTAATCCCCACTTTGTCATCCCTGTCTAGATTGAACCCGTCATCACGTAGGATACTTCCAGAACAAATCAGCGTTTGACTAGTTTTATGAATTATTTACTTAGTAAATAAGTGTAAATACAATTGTACATCGTCACTTGAAAATAATTCACCGAGAAGAAAGCTTTCCTCTGTAAAAACGTTTTCCTTTCTTCACTCATTGTCTTCTTATTGCTGTGTTCTCAGAACTGGTTGTCTTCTTTGCAAACGTTTTATTCCCTAGTCGACTACTACACTAAGGCGCATCTTGCACTGTTGCACTTCTGTGCAAAAGTTCGATGCTGAAACCATTCAGGTAGATGAACACAAAATAGGACGAGTTGTGTGTCCTCGACTCTACCGACACCCGCCTAGTAACAAGGTTTTTAAATTTCCTGATTTGGAATGCTTCTGCTGCTGAGGGTTTCCGGTTATCTTTCGCCCGCATGTGAGATCTTTGGTTCGCAATTAGATCTATTTATTATGAATAAATTAGTGGTTCCTAGTGGCTAACGGCAGCATATATGTAGCAATAATAGTTTTTGAAAATGCAGGCGTATAGTTTACACATAATTTACCAGGTGACATGAAAGTGTTGTACTTGGTTCCCGAATTTCATTCGTCAACCTTAACTTATGAAGTGTCTCTAAACTGGAGAAGATAGACGCTCATTGTCTTATTTGTTTTATAATCTTGTTTCTCTAAGTATTGTATGCTAATGATAAAAGTTGCTGTGATTTTCTTTTTTTGAGAACACGGCTTCAATCTTTGAGGTTTGAAGTTTGAAGAATCTAGGTGGTATTTTTCATTGGGTGAGTTTGCTCGCCTCACATGCAACCTTCCATCTCTACTACTGGGTTTACCACTGCGGGCTAAGTGAGGTTAAAGGGTGTAGTAGCCGGGAATCGAACTGTGGGTGGCTGGCAAGCTTTCTACCACTGAACCCACGTCACATACAAGCAATACCTGTCTTTTTCTCTCTCTAGAATAATGGTTGTTTTAGAAGATTTCTCAAATAATTTTCTTCCCCTGATCTTTATAGTATGTATATACAGTGAAATATTTTCTTATGGTTAGTAATTTTAGAAATCAGTGTTCCATATCAATCAGGTCAATCCTTCTATGTATATTTTTTAAGTCAATAATAATATTAGTAATAATAATAACAAACATACATTAACTATAGGTTGAAGGGATTGTATACACAAACGCAGGACACAAATCACAGAGAGACACAAATACATCCATACACATACGAAATTGTATGTTATTTTCATTACAAAGTTTTGTAACCTTGTACAGAATAGTAGTAATAAGTTTCGTTTGTAATGTATAAAACACATTCACATTAAATTCTATATGATGCTGGGTCGAAAGGATACTTACTAATAATGACTGTA